AATTTGTCATTCCCTGCATAGTAAACCATGTGGTTGTCAGATTCAAAATGGCCAATACCAGTCCATTTCAGCTCACTAATGCCTAAGATATCGATGTTTGTGCATTCCATTTCATTTTGACAACTTCCAGTTTTCCCAGATTCATACTTCGTACATGCCATCTTCCAATTTTCAATGGATGTTTACAGCTGTTTCTCTTCATTTTGAGTTGTGCCCCATCAGCACATGAATGTCCCACAGGCTTTTCTCCCATGGGCTTTACTCCATTTGCGTCATCACGGTCACCTCTACTTTGAGGAAGCATCTCTTCCCCAGTCACATCTTGAGTGCCTTCCAACCTGAGGGGCTCATTTTCCGGCACTATATCTGACAGTGTTCCTCTGCTATTCATAAGGTTTTCAGTGACTAAATATTCGGAAGGAACTTGTCACTCCTTCTTCCTAGTCTGTTAGTGTACTAAACTGCAACATCTGTTTGAACCACAAGGTCAGCAGTTCAAGCTCACCAACCGCTCCTCAGAAACCCTAAGCCGGGTCGCTATGGTTTGGAACTGACTCGGTGGCACCTCACAGCAGCCATAACAACAGGTGGCACCAGAGTCTATGAGGACAGTGATCACTCATTTGGTCAACAAAGTGGAAGTCACCAAGGGAATGGGACTCCTCTGCAAATGACTGTAGCTAAGTGTCTCCCACGTCACAGGGAAGTCACACTACACACTGCTCAAGCCACTGTTCTAATGAACTCCGGGACAATTCAGTGGAATTCCTCAGTCAGCTCTGCCTTCCACATAGCAATGCTTCCTGGTGCAAATGAACACTTATAAAGCAAGAAAACCTTGTCTCTCTCAATCATTCAGCCTCAAATCTAAAAGAAAGATGAACACTCCTGTACAACCCAAGATTCACATATTCATTTTACTTAGTGCAAAAAAGAAAGAAAAGGTCTTAAATGTATATGGATTGTTGAATAACAAAATCAGACTTCTCTGTAATTTCACCCAAATCCCAAGTTTCTTAAAATAAAATAACACAATTTTAAAATTTTGCCTATAATCCTATGTCCTTAACAAATGAATATTTTCATTTTCTCTCTGCAGCCTTCCAGTTCCTATTCAAAATATGCATAATTCTATCAGTGCTAATTCTAGAGGCCAAAGACCAATTCCCTCATTTTACAAGTGGGTAAACTACTGAATTAGACTGCGAACTGCAAGGTCAGCAGTTCGAAACTACCAGCTGTTCCATGGGAAAAAGATGAGGCATTCTACTACCGTAAATATTTGCAGCCTTGGAAACCCTGTGCAGGGTCAATATGAGTTGGAACCGACTCCACGGCACATAACAATAACAACAACAACAACAAACTACTGAGGCTCCACTGGGAACTACTTACATAGCATATCCCATTTAACCCTTAAAATACCCTGTGCACCAAGTGCTGACCTTGTCCTGATTTTAGAGATGAGACTACCAAGACCCAGAGAGGTTAAGAAACTTGTTCAGAGCCACACAGCAGTATTTATACCGAAGCTATTTGGCTTTCTCCGCACATGGTTAGCTAGATCTGGACTCACATTCGAGATTCCAGAATCCCGATCCAGGATTTCATTTTGCTCCTCTAGTATTCATGACAAAAGGCTGTTGTTTTTAATCTATAATGTTCGTTCACTAACATTCTACTTTCTAGTAAGAAAACTTGGCGTACTGGCATGCTGCTACAGAGGTGTGGGACTGAAAGGTTGGTTTGAGCCGCTCCTAGGAAACCCTTTACAGGGTCTCTGAGTCGAAGCCAACTCAACAGCACTAAAAACAACAGGAAGAAAGTAGACTTTACCGAGCTCTCCACCAGCAAGGAAGACGACACATACCTGCTCCCCATTGGGAAGAGAGAAAACCTCTGGTGAGGGACCAGCTCCTTCCACAATGGCAGCATAACAAGCCAGGGAGGCTGCCCGCAACCCTTCAGGGTCATCTTCCAGAATATCTACTGGGAAAAGGCCCACTAAAAGAAAAAGGCAAAAAATGACATTAGATGTAGTCTCTCTTTTCTTAAAGTGAAAGTCACTTCTTTCTTGAAGATTTAAAAAACACTCTTACATACAAACACCTACATTGAAAGTCAATTATTTCTGAGAGATTAAAAAGCAAAGCACTCAGATTGCTTTGTCTCACATACACATGTCAATTCTAGGAAGCCAGGAGTTCCTCTTACCAAAATGAACCAAGCACTTCTTCCCACTGAGGGACTTGGCCCTAAGCTGTCCCTATAGACTTCCCCTACCCACCACTCTCTCCTTGGAAACCCAATACAGGGTCACTAGGAGTCAGAACTTAACAACAAACTGAATCCCGCTTCCTTACTCAGACACCACAGCAAAAGTGTCACCAAGACCAAACTCAACCATCAGGACCTCAGTCTTTCTTAACAAGCTGCTGCCTGTCCGCCTCCCGGACTTCACACCCTAACCTCCTGGAGTACAAAGTTCACCCATCTACAGAGGCCGTTTTACTTCAGCCTCCAGGGCATAAAGGAGTCCTGCAGCCAGACTGCTGAAGGCTGGCCAGCTAACCTAAAGGTCCGGAGAAAGCCCCCTGGGGCACTTCTACTCTGTCACATGGGGTCCCTACAAGTGGGTTCTGCCTTGAAGGCCCCTCCCAGTTATCCCTGGAGCACCCAATGTGCTCCCAGACTCTGCTTCAGGTTCCTTCTTCCTAAGCCACACCATCACGAAGACCCTTCCCAAAGGCCGGAGCTCCCGGGGAATTTCGTTGAGCCTCAAAATGCAGGGGGTGGGGAGGGGGTCACTGAGTTCTGGTTCCCCTGTGAGTTCTATAAATTGCACACCTGAACTCTGGGGGGTGGGGTAGGGACAGCCATTTTACCCTCACTTTCTCCACCTCCCATACACACATACACACACACACACACAC